GTCGTCACCTCTCTCCAGAGGGCCTCCCTCCCCCACGCCCCTCTGCCCCCGTCGACCTCTCATACTACTTGGAACAGTTACTTGCTATTCTTCGTGAGAGCATTGTTTTTCAAGTCTGAGAACTTTATGAACAGCTATGTCCTAGTCTCACAGTTTTTGTGAGGAGTTGAGATCAAGAGGAAATGCGTGTCCGTTCCTCTCTCCTCGTAGCCTGCATCCTCTCCTCCTTAGGGGGAGCCAGGAGGCTGAAATGATTGGCACCCTCGTCTTTCCCTCTCCTGGCTTCCTTTCCTCAGGGAGCTATGGATTGTTTGTACTAAATCCCTCACTTAGTCCCAGATGGCAACTGGTAGATGTCTGGTCTGGTCCGACAAGGGAAACCCGACAGCAGCCTGTCTTTACGTCTATTGATGGGAGACAGCAGTGGGTTGAGACAGAGGACGGACCCTTGGGCCTGCCCAGCCACAGACAGTTTGCACTCAGACGTGAGGGCAGAGCCTTAACCAGGCTGTGGTCATTGATCACAATATTTGAAAAGGTGTTTTTTCCCCCCTTTGGGATGAATTCCAAACAACAGTGAAAATTTCTAAAAGTATCTGTTTCCTGTGGTCAGTATGATGGGTAATAAAGTGTATGAGTGTTGCTGGCAGGAGATTTTGACTTAGTTTGATGGACATTAACCAATTTCTCAATTACTTACTTTCAAAAAACTTTAGACAAAATAGGTGGAAAGGTAAAACTCTTCCTTAGGTCGGGGGAAGCAAACTCACTCCCTGATTTTTGTAAATAACAATCGCTTCCTTAGCTCTTAAAGCAATTAGGAGCAATGGGGTTATTCGTAGCTATCAGTTTAGAAAATGTAAATTTAGAAACCTACTTTGAATGACAAATAATAGTAAAATTTTAAGAAATGGTTTTTCATCTCCAGTGCATTTTGAATGATACACATTATGGCATTTAGACAGTCCTCTGCTGGCCGGCTTCAGAAGCCTCTTGGAATTCATTTTCGTATCTTTCGCATTTCTTGGAAATGTTCTCTTGATTTTTTTGTGACTCACAACATTATTTTTTTGATCCTCAGTAATCTTTCCAAATTAAAATTTTAAGCTTAGGACAATGGCTGCATTCTCTAAGGTGATGGACACAAAGAGTAAAGTGGACATTTGGCCACAAACAGCCAAGTGTGATGATCTGGATTTGAAACCTCATCTGTCTTCATAAACCCAGGGGCTGTACTTTGACATCTTCTGGATACACAGATCAGGGAGAGCTGTGTGAGCTATCTGTCCACTACATCATCCCTACGGCAGATCAGCCTGACTGTCTTGGAATCTACCAAGAAGACTGCTGGAGAATCAGGGCTGTGTTGTCCACAGCAAGGCACGGATTGGCATCCCCATAGGGTGTGTGTGTGATTAAACAGGATCCAGGACTTCAGTTTCATCCCGGCTTCCTAAATCACTGGATAAACTGTTGTGTCATTATTTCTAGATTGTTGCCTTCCTATTAGCATGTAGAAGTCTGAATCGTAAGTCTCAGACTTCCTTCCCATGACTTAGGTCCTAGGTAGCATAAATATGCCAGAGCAGAGTTAACTCATGTCACTGCATTGCAAAGGTTTTAGCTCTGTGTTGAATTTTTGCTGCCTTCCTATGAACTGTGTTGTTTGGTCGTACCACTTCCGGCATTTAAAAGTGTCCATTTAGTCTCACTTAACTTAGTACAGTTATGTAATGTACGTGCTGAGATGTTATTTTGAGAAATGCAGGAACTCAGCAGAGAAGCTCTGTTTAAAATAAAAGCTGAAACATTCTGTGTGGTGAGTGAATATTCTATTTCTCGAGAACATGGTGTAACTGAGCAGTGCCCTCTGGGGCCTTCCTGGAACAGACAACCCCCACCACCTCCACGACACACATTCATACACCCTCAGTCCTTGTCGGCCTCTTGTAGAAAAACTGTAGTCTCCTAGGCTTCCCCAAGTTCCAAAAAGTACATTTAACCAGAGAAATGAGAAAATGCAGAAAGAAAGAAAACACATCCCAGAACACACAGACGTGTATGCACGTACACACGTGTGTACATATGTGTATGTATATATCTCGCATTATAACATACACAGCATCGCTGTTTTTATCTGTCACTTAATCAAACCTTTGACTAATTTCTGGTTAACAGAGAAAAACTAGGGCTAGAGGACTAGAGAAGAGACTGCCACGAAGGAAAACAATCACTCAAATCAGAGTGGACGGCAGTTCTGAAAGATAACTGTCTGGCTGAATTCCCCCCAAAGTCACCGTGACACACACCTGCAAGAGATGAGGGAGACATGCTACGTTAAAAGAAGCTAAAGAAAAATAATGCTCAGGGGCAACGCACACACATTGACCAGCTCCTGACTTGAAATATCAGCGCTAAAAGAGCTTTTGTGAACAATTCAGGAGATTTGAATATGTATTGGATTTTTTAAATTATTAGGGATTTGGGGGCAATTTCTTGAGTTGTGGTATGATATTGTGATTCTATAGGAGAACTTCCCTATTCTTAGGATATGAAGATAGAAACATTTAGGGACGAAGTGTCATAATACCTGTTATTTGCTTTCAAATTATTTGGCAAGGTACCTGTGTGTACATTTATATTGCTATAAAAACAAAGCAAATACATAAAAATATTTACAGGTAAAGGGAAAACATGCTCACTGTACCTCTGTTTTGGCTTTTCTGTACAATTAAGCACTTTCATAAACCCTTCTGTACATTTATCTTTCATACTTTTTCTGTATGTTTAAACACCTTTTTTTTGGACAGAAAATGCAAATTTACAAAGAAGAAATGGTCTTTGAGCAACATGTTTCTTGTGAACCTATTGGTCCTTTATCCACATGCCTGTGTGTCCAGTCTTGAAAGAGGCCCACGCGTCCGAACTCCTCCTGTGTCCTCTGCAGGCCTCCGACCTCATCGGCCCGAGCCAAGCCACTCAGAAAGCTCCACATTTCCACGTGTGAAAACTCTCCTCGTCTGACCCAGTTTCCCTGTCCCTTCACTGCGGCTCACCCACTGTCCCTTCCTAGTGTGTGTTCCTGGAGACCCCAGAGTGTCCCTCAGAGTCCACTGGTCTCCTTACCACCCTTGGCCAGCGATCTGGACAAGTCCGAGGTGTCACCTTGGATTCGCTGATGATGCCCGGATGTCCTGTCCACAGACGTTTCCTCTGCTCTTCAGACTCGCGTGTCTGACTCCTCCTTCACGTCTGTACTCAGATGTCTCAAAACAGCCTTCCGTGAACAAGCCCCTAAGCAGAACATCTGTCCTTCACCCAAACCTCTGCCCCTCCCCGCCCCCACCCCCCAGGGTGTGCATCGCTCCGTCTGGGTGTGAGTTTTCCGATTCTTTCTCTTTTCCTGCTCCCATGTCCAGTTTACCCGCAGGGGCTTAGGTTGTACCTTTAAAGCAGATCCTGAATAAGTACCCTGCTCTCGCTCCCAGTCTCTGTCCCTCTTCTTTCCCTCCTTCTCTCTCCCTGCCCCTCCCTCCCTCCCTCCCCCCTCCTCCCTGAAGCCCCCCAGAACAAGCCGCCTCCACTGAAACACCCTTGTAACCACGTCCCGCCAGCCACTCCTGCTTCGCTCTGAGCACTCTCTGACCATGCAGCGGCAATTCAGATTCCAGGGAAACAGAACTTCTTCCATTCACTGTCCTGAATCGGCCTTTTCAATAGATTTCCATCACAGTTTGGATGAAGTCCAAACTCCTTGCCATGTTCCGGGGGGCCACACGGTTCCACTCCGGGTGTCCCGCGGCCCGGACCCCCACCAGACCCCGCCCACACTGCCCCACGCCGGGGCTTTGCACCTGCTCTTGGCCCCGGGCGGTGCCTCGGGGCCAGTTCCTCCTTGTCCTCCAGGCCAGCCGAAGTGCTGTCCCCCGAGAAGGGCTCGCCCTGCTGCTCACTGCTGTCCTCTGACTCCTCGTGTGTTTCTGTTGCAGTTTCTAGGTGTTTCCTTTCTTTCTCTCTCTGATTTTGTCTGTCATTCCCACGGGAAGGAGGGCCCCCTGAGGGTAGGCGTGGTGCTGCCTGAGTCCCATGAATCTGTGACATCTAAGGCAGAATGTGACACACGGCGGAGTTGAACTGAACAGGCGAGGAGACCGTCCGACTGCGGAGCGAACCACCACCTCAGCCCGCCCGTGCCTCGGGTTACAAACCACCATGGCAGCCCAGGCTTCCCCAGTGGGGTGC